TCCCCGGAGGCCGCCACCACCCCGGCGCGCTGCACATGTACATCCACCTCATGGAGATGTCCACGACGCCCGAGGCCGCCCGCCCCGCCGCCGACGCCCTGCGCGGGCTCGTGCCCGACGCCGGCCACCTGAACCACATGCCGAGCCACATTGACATTCTCGTCGGGGACTACGCGGCCGCCGGGCGCGCCAACTCAGCCGCCGTGGCCGTCGACGAAAAGTACCTGGCGCGCGAGGGCGCCCACATGTTCTACACGCTCTACCACAGCCACGACTACCACTTTCTGCTCTACGGCGCGCTCTTCGCCGGCCAGTCGGCGCTCGCCCTCGAGACGGTCGGCCGGCTCGAGGCGAGCCTCTCCGAGGCGCTGCTGCGCATCGAGTCGCCGCCCATGGCCGACTGGCTCGAGGCGTTCCTCGGCATGCGCGTGCACGCGCTGATCCGCTTCGGCCGCTGGGACGATGTGCTGGCGCTCGAGGTGCCCGAGGACCAGGAGCTGTTCTGCGTCTGCACGGCGCTGACGCACTATGCCAAGGGCGTGGCGCTCGCGGCGACGGGGCGCGTCGACGAGGCGACGGCACAGCAGGCGCTCTTTGACGCGGCCCGGGCCAGGGTCAAGCCGTCGCGCACGCTGTTCAACAACCAGTGCACCGAGATTTTGAAAGTCGGCGCGGCGCTTCTGAGCGGCGAGATCGAGTACCGCGCGGGTGGGTATGAGGCCGCGTTTGCGCACCTTCGCGAGGCTATTGCGCTGTACGACGACTTGCCGTATGATGAGCCGTGGGGGTGGATGCAGCCGGCGAGGCACGCCTACGGCGCGTTGCTGCTCGAGCAGGGGCATTTGGACGAGGCGCTGGCCGTCTACAAGGCCGACCTGGGCTTGGACGACTCGTTGCCGCGTGCGCATCAGCACCCGCACAATGTGTGGGCTCTGCATGGTTATCACGAATGTCTGGTGCGGCTGCACAGGAAGGAGGAAGCAGACGCCATCAGTGGAGAGTTAAAGGCGGCGCTGGAGCTGGCCGATATTCCTATCAAGTCGTCATGTTTTTGCAGGACCAAAGTTTAGTGACCTTGAGGGAGTTATTTTGATGCAGATCCTCACTATGGTAATAAATGCGACTAGAATTACATTATATACAAAACATTGAACACAATCACTCCTGTTTGTCCTTTTTGTCCTGTTTGGCAGTCTCTATGCCATACATTTCTCCAAAGACTCCGACTTCATGTCCGCCCCTGTAGCCAAGCATCCTGGAATAGCTCTTTGGCGGTGCTGCGTCGTTCTGGACTCCACTGAAGCATCTTCCGCATAAATTCTAGAAATTCTTTCTTGTCGTCCCCGGTCAAAAGCGTCTCCCTCTGCTCCAGCGGTATCGATGTTGGCAAATCAATCCCAGCGGCGAATGTGCCTAGCGAGTTGGCCGTGTCAGCTGGATACGAAACCGAGAATTGGCGCACATGGTTCGTGTGATTGATGATCTATACCTTGATCTGAGAAAAATTTACTCGCCAGGCGGCCGCGCGCAAGGAGATCCTTTGGCGGAGGCCCTAGTAGCGCGATGATTTCGGCGAGATGAGCCCGCCTTCGATAAGCCTTGTGCTCTGGGTCAACAGCGTAAAACAATTGGTTTCCCTCAAATATATCCCAAATCTTGCGCTTTTGTTAGCGCGCTATTCCGTAATTCTTTGCTTTCAGGGGAGTTATTTTCTTGCCAAGAGGATGCTTACCATGCATCCGACATTCCAGATATCAATCTTGTAGTCCCACGAAGCTTCGAGTGTCACCTCCGGGGCGCGATAGATATGGGGCTGCACACACACATCGAGGTGCTCAACATGTCCAAATACAGCTGAGCCAAAGTCACATAAGACCGGGGGGCCAATTTCTCCTGGGGATTTAATTGCTCGAGAAGCGTAAATGGTTCTCCCTTCTACCTCCTTGCGTGGACAGGGACTATTCATCTCCTCCTCCTCAAACTCAGCGAAGACGGATAAGTCCTTGATGCCAAACATGATGTTGTCCGCCTTGATGTCTATCAGGATCAATCAGCCAAGCGGCAAATATGGCTCAAAGAAGGGGAGGACCCTTACCGGTGTGGATGATTTGACATTCGTCATGCAGATACTCCAGCGCCAGGAACAAGTCTTTTAAGACGAACCGCAGGCCAGAAGGTGGGAGCCTTCGGGGCGAGGTTCGACGGATGGCCGCCTCGATACTTCGCCACAGTGGCGGGTGCGCCAGAACCAGGTGTTCCCCTTCCGGTCCATCCAGCTGGAAAGAATCTAGTAGGGTCCTGACGGCGTGTCGACCTGGATGGTTAGATGCGCGCTGCTCCATACGCTTGAACATGGCGATTTCGTTTCCGGCGCCATCTCCAAGCGTCTGGGAGCGTATAAAAACCTTGAGGGCGACATGGCGTCGGCGGCTACATTCCTGGGTAAGCACCGTCCTGACGGCTTCTAGGAGCGGCAACATACTGTAAGTCGTGGGCCAGCCAAACTGTCGAGGTCGCGCCGAAGCCAAGCTTCCCAACCACCTGATAACGATCGACGAGCACTTGGCCAATACGCACGGGGTAGTAACGCGCTGGGAGATAGTCGGGCAGTGCTTCCTCCTCGACTGGGACATCTGCAGGTATTCGAGTAAAGTTGGGGTTGGCGAATATACGCGGTTGCAGTGGTGGGCGGTGTCGGCTTAATCGAGACCATGCTCGGGAGATGAATGACATGTTCGATGGGCTTGACAAACAGCGAAGAGGTGAGAATGCGAGGCACGGTAAGCACGGTCACAACCTCAAGTAGTCACCCCACTGTAAATCAGCACCGATGATGCGGGCAGTTCCACATGGCGTGCAATGAAGGGTGAGGAAAGCAAGCAGCAAAATGATGTTGTCAGCATGTAATTCGTACCTATGATGTACCTGTTATCGAATTTAGTGTAAATTAATAAATCAAGGGGCTGATCTAGCGCTAACTCAATGACTTCCATGCAAGTGGATCAGTATCAAATGCAGGCACAAAGTGTCAGCCAAAGTACCTAATGCAACACGGCGTGCCAAAATTCACGGTCAGGTACTAAGCAGGGATGGGCGTTTACCTCAAATTTGTACCTACCTTGAGGCCGAGGTGCGGTCAGCGGTCGACGACTTGCAATCCGCGTGCTCTCGCCTAACTAATCTTTCCACCTAATTTGTTTTGGAAACTGCCATGGTCGCACGTGATGTAGCGGAATGAGCCCAAACATGCATCCGTGGCCTCGCACCACAAAGCAGCGTCGACCTATCGAATCATCGAAACGAAGCTTTCAGTCGGACCCAGCCAAGGCAATTCATACAAGTTCCGAAGCCCGGATTTCTTCCTTCTTCTAAACGCCCCCAAAAGGATGTTGCGTGAACATTCATGTCTTCGACACTTCACTCGACCTGCACAGGTTTGGCGTGCTCTGGACTTTGCAATCTCAACCCCAACGACTAACCACGGCGCGTAGCTCCTGACGGCGACATCGCTGATTTCCTGCCCTCTCTTGTCCCTTCCGACGGAAATACAGCTTCACATCTTTCAATTGCTGAGCCCCATTGATGCCGTCTGTCTCGCCCTGGCAAGCAAGCAGCTTCTCAAGGTATCGACCATGTTGGAGATCAGGGTCCCTTCTGTGGCCAAGCATAGAAACATCATGCCGCCCCCCTGCCGTCTCATATACTGGCTCCTTTGGCGCTTTGAGCCTCAATGCGACAGTTATAATTGGCTGGGAAAGAAGAAGTTTGGCTTGTGCATCTATTGTTTACAATACCGACCGAAGAAAAAAGTCCACTGGAGGCTTATGGCGGCCAAGTATAAGCGGACCAGAGGAGTCAGCGCGACAGCGTGGAAGCATGCTGTAGATAGGTGGCACCGCAGAGGCGGCACACAGTGCCCGGAGTGTTATTGCGACGAGCTATATGCAGTCATTGACAAGTAAGGGCGAAAACGGAGGCCGCTCTATTTATCCCTGGGTTCCTGTTCTTGTTTGCACAACGCGCAAATCCCACTCGCTCCAAGATGGACAATGCCGCAGACGGAGTTCTACTTCATTGTATGAGCGAGGCAGGAGCATAAGAAACAGCCCAGAGACAGAGAAGAGGCGGACCTTACCTTGAGCACCTGACATACACAGGAAAGTACAGGATTGGATTCATGTTTTTACACTGTATGTACGTTATTGGAGTGACATATACTAGAGGCTATGTACATCTAGCGGGCTTCTTCTTCAGCCCTTTACAGGTTGCCAATGTACTTGCAGTAAACGTCATTGCCGTTGATACCGCAGTCCGTCTCGAGGGGGCCAGTGCCCTCCTTTGCCAGGTTGATGACGGTGCCGCCGGCGGGGGTGATGGTGCCGGAGGAGGTCGTGGCCGAGTTGTTGGTAAAGATGATTTCGCTGAACCCGGCCAGGTTGTCGGCAAAGTCCTCGACGATCCACTCGGCGTCGGTCTCGCAGAGGGTCGACGGGGTGCGGGTAAAGGTGTGGGTGGCCTTTTTGCCCGTCGTCAGGTTCTCGAGGATGGCGACGCCCGTCGTCTTGGACGAGGCGTCGACCTCCATGTAGACGCGGTCGCCGACGCTGAGGGGGAAGTCGCCAAACATGACGACGTTGTCCGGGATCCACTCCCACCAGGCGTCGAAGCTGCCGTCGCCGTAAAAGTCGATGCCCGTCTGCAGGAGCGCGGCCTGGCAGCTGTCGCCGTCGATGCCGACCCACGCGGCGCCCGACTGGTCGGCGCTGCCGCCCCGCGGCGTCGGCACCGTGATGGTCCCGACGACCTTGGTGATGCCCTTGGCGTGCCGCACGGCGCCCGCCCAGTTGGACGACGTCTGCGACCGGACGCCGTCGGCGTTGGTGTACGGCGCCCCCAGCCGCTGGTTGGTGCGGTTCCGGCGCGTGGTTGAGCGCTCGTGGGCGCTGCGCTGCCGGAGCTGCTGGGGGGCAGCGGCGGCGACGCCGGCGAGGGCAGCGAGGGCAATTGCAAACTTCATGGCTAGAGCAAGTGGCTGATAGGGAAAGGAGGCCCCGGGTGAAGCTTGTTTAGAGGGGATGGAGGGTGTACTACATCGTCATCTATCCTGGCGGCGTCCAACGTGGGTTTTATAGTCGGAGCACAGAGAGTATCATGGCCGGAGAACTGATGGCCGTCTCCGTTGCATGTAAGCCCGGCTACCGCAACTGGGAAAGATGACCACGTTCTGAAGCATTGGCGTAAACGCTGTTCAGTCCGGCTTGTTGCGAATAGGTAGTTCGGAGATGGCAAGCTTATCTCTAACTGCCTAGTCCGGAAGGTCGCATCTGCGGTCGCCCCTAGCTTGTCGATCATGCGGTGCCGAAGTGCCGGATCCGAGGCTGAAATCGTGTGCTGGGGCAGCTGCCGGTGCCCACTGACGGACTTCGGGCGGACGAGGAAGAGTAAGCTTTACCCACATGTCGCAAGTAGTTGGCGATCTCATTTTCTAGCTGATGTTTTAGTTTGTCCGCTATTGCCGGGCTGTCATCCACATGCCTAACAGAGCGAGTTGCCCCATGGTGAATGGTGTCTGAGCCAGCTACAGCGTCTTGACAATTAGTCACTCATCTATCAACAATAAGCACAGATTGGTACTAACAAGTCATTCGTCAGAATGCGGCTAGTCCATTCATTAGTAGTACTTGGTCAACAAACGGATGTGGATGATGTTAGTGTTGGAGCGTTGGGCTAATACTGTTGCCGAGAATAGAGACTCTTGTACAGTGGGGTAAAAAGCTTAGCTGTTTCGATTTATCCCCAAATTGTAGTGTCATTTCGCATGCATGAATCAATATTTGCAGGGAATAGTATAATATAATACCAAGTCTATGGCTCTGACTTGGGCCCATAAATAGCGACAAAGGCCCAATGTCCCAGACAGATGATGGGTCTGTGGTTATAGTTATGTATGAATGTGTTGTAGGAATCCAAGGTACAGATCTTTTTTTTCCCCAAGATTTCTACAAAGCCTGTGGTTTGGTGTTGGAATAAAAATATCGGATTTCGTTGCATCATGTAGCTGTGTCGTGACAGACAAAAAAACATGCTCTGCATTGGTAGTATTGTGTTACCTGTATCCTCGTAGTAAGCCGATCGGCGAATTGTGCTCTGATATATAGAAGACTCTTCGTCTTGAGAATTTACCACTCATCAATGCCAGAATTAAGAAAAGCCCTGTCGAGGCCAGCCGTCGACGCAAGTTTGCATCACCCCACAGTTGAACGCGGCCAGGGGAGCTGGCTTTGTCCTCTGTCCTCTGGTTCGGCAGCCTCAAACGAAACTTGCGTCCAACACCCTGCCAGGCTGCCACCAAACCGGCCTTGTCAATCGATTTTTCTCTCTCCGTTATACCACGTCGAAAGATGGCCGAATATTCCGCCGACGACGAGATAGCTGCCTTCTTCAAGAAGACGACAGCGACGCGATCCCAGTGCGAGACGAAAGCCCGCCAACTCACAGGAAGCAACAAGATCGAGCCAGTGGCCATTCAAGGCGCCTGCAGCTACACAGTGTACGCAGGCGAGCGTTTAGAATATGTTGTGCAGTGCCGCCTGAGCTCCCTGGCTCTAAAAACCGAATTGTCCGACCTAGCGACCGCTGTTTACGGCTCATTCGTGCCTACAGTCTCTCTACACGGGGAGCTAGGCCATGGCCAAGATCAGGAGAGCGGCAAGGAGCCACTACTGGTGTACCTCATGACACGAATGCCTGGCATCACTCAGCTAGATTTCATTTTGTCCCACGATGTCGCCCAGTCCTCTCCCGAATTTTTTCCCTCCCGGCAGTACTTTTTCGCCGACGTTGCCAGGTCCGTCTTGTCATGCACGCAGCCGGAAAGCGCCCACCTAATCTTTTCGCCAGCTTCCTCGCACGATCCTGGCTCACTCCGCAGAATGTGTCTTCCGAATACCGTGATAAATTAAAGGCAAGCTACCTTTCCGATCTTCACGCACTTGAAGAGGGTCTCCCAGAAAGATTCAAGCCTGCTATCCAGACTTGTCTGCGTTCTCTGGACGACATCATGGCCCTGCCGATGGTGCTCCTCCACAAGGATTTTGGCTCCTCCAATGTGCTGGTAGAAAAGGATTCATGTCACTTGACAGGTGTGATCGATTGGGCCGAGGCTTCCATTGGCCCCTTTGGAACAAACCTTCATTCGATTCAATCATTTGCCGGCTCTATGCATTTGCGCAATGGCTGGACCAGATTTCCGGATTACGAGGCTTTTGAGCAGCGGTTCTGGTCAACATTAGGTACGAAAGTCGGCGGTCTATCCGAAGAGACGGTCATTACAATCAAGAAGGCAAGGGTCTTGGGCTTGTTATTGTCGCACGGATTCACCAGTCGACTCGCCAATGAGGCCGCGCCTGCTCCTCTCAAGGACGACGATCATGGTCGCTACCACACCATGTATTTGGATGGCTACCTTGTCAATCCCAGTACAAAAATGGATGGAGCTCCCTGATGCTCACGATTGTAATGACATTGATGCGCTCGTGGCAGCAGTCCTCCCACTGGTGTGTCTGACGAACCAAAGTAAGAAAAATTAAAAGAATAAGAAATACTAGAATCGCACCAGAGAGGCTCTGACAAGCTTCCATTTCTCGCTGTTGTAGGGCCGGTCACACACAAATCTTAGGTGATCTAGTCATGTGACTGGGTGTCCTACTTTGGCACATTTAGTCAAGGCTTTTTTCATCTCGACCAATCCGTAATACCCCGTTGTTCTTGTTCGTGTACTAGTACCTTGGTAAACCCCTAGGAATAATACGAACAACCGGGCCGCTCTCCGATGATCGCGGGCCGTGAGCGGGCCACCGATCATGGCTTTCCTATTCAGGAAGGCCGGTGTTGGGCATGCGCGCAGACGTGTTGTCATGGGGCTCTCGTGTTGAACACGGCAGAATGATATGAGCAGTTCCTCTTTTTTTTCCTTTTTTCCTTTTGGCGAGGTTCGGATGAGGAAATGGTCATGCCGGCCCTGCGAGCTGAACCAGCCCTACACACTGGTGGCAGCACAGCATGGCGCCCGTGCCTCAAGCCAAACGAAGTCGGCTATGCGACGGGTACATGCTCAGTCACACAATGTTGTCTTGTGAAGAACAGTCAACTCGAGCAGAGAGCGAAAATGCGATTCAAAAAAATAATATTCACATAGTGGTGCAACTGTTAGCCACTCGCTAAAAAGTCCAAGGTAATATGGGTATATATAAGTGCCGAAACGCCGCCCAGGAGGATAGAATGACCAAGAAAAAAAGAAGAAGAAAAAAAAAGAAAAAAAAAAGAAAGAAAAAAGAAAGAAATCGAAATAGACAGAGAAAGAAAGGGTGAAAGGGATGCTACCGGCCTTGCGAGACGGTGACATAATTATTAAAGTCTCGAATGTGCCTCACGGCCCTGGATCTGTAGAATCTCTCGGCCGCCTCTCTCGATTCATGTAGTGGCCGCGCCCAAACCGGGATATTACTCTCGTCGTTTAGGAACTGGACGATCCCCCAAGGCTCACTCAAATCTTCCTCGTCGAAGAAGTCTTCTTCCCGTCCTGAGAAACCCTCATCAACATCGATGTGGCTAGTGTCGATCATGAGTATCTGGATCTGGGCATCGACGAATAACAAGAAGCAAAAATTAGAAGAAAAAAAGAGAGAGATTTACCTCATACAAACTTGGGACAGCGTGTCGCTCGGCTGCCGCCGGGCCGCTCCGGCCCCAGAAATTTGTCGCTCGTTTTCCTCGGTCAAGCCGCCGCCGGCTTGGGCCGTGTGCGCGGCCTGTCTCTGCGCATCCTGGTCCCCGCGCGGGGGTTGTACCAGGGTGGCTGCTGCCGAGGATGGGGCTCCGTGTTCCGCTGCAGAGCTCTCCCTCTTGTCTGAGGGCTGTCCTTGGGTTGTAGAGCCGGGCATGGCGACAAAGCGGTCCTTGAATGCGGGGGGGACGGATGTCAGCGACATAAAAAAGGGCGGCCCGGGGTGGATACATACTGTTATGGAAAATGGAGACCGTAGCTTGGTACTGTTGACCGGGGAAGGGGAAGATGCAGATGCAAGTTCGAGATCTTGACTGGCTCTGGGGTCGCTTTTCTTGCAGGAGAGATGCCAAAAGCTTGGGGATGAGCCAAGGTCTATATAGAAAGCGCACGATGGGTGTATGGGATGGCGGCCTGATGGCTGCCATTTTCAGATGACGGATTGCCATCAACAATGGCCCTTTTTTTTTCTCCCTCCCGCGCGTCGTATTCTAAGCCGCAACTTTTGTTTCTTGTCTACTCAGACGCCCATGCTTCTTGGGCGCCCAAAAGGTAAAAAAAAGGGCAGAAAAGAGAGGCCCGTCTGCGTTGATTGGTTGGGTCCTGTTCCCCGGCCGCGAGAGGGCAGAGAAAACAGTCGTGTAACACGCGGTGTAGAGGCCGATGAGTTGTTTTCTCGGCGGCGGTAGACTTGATGCTGTTGGCAACTCGATTTAGCTCAAGAGAGAGACAGACAGCAGCAGAAATGAGCCACCAAGCGGCCCGTCCAGAGAAAGCCCAGTACCGCGCGCGCCACGTATCATCCAAACTACATAGACAGACAGATGTGTCGCACAGGGCCCAACCGGGCCAGGAACTTGTCTACAGGTGGCCAATGGATTCTCGCCCCCAACTCAGCCCGGAATGGGAATGTCTTTTTTTTTTCTTTGAGGCCTGCAGAGGGACTAGCGGTCAAACTGCACATGGAAGAAGCTCACATGCATTGTCTCATGTTTGCGACAGAGTATACATGACAAAGGTGGTGTGTCATGGCGAAGCCGTATCCCGTTTGACCGAGCTTTGACGAGCATGATGAAGTGGCTTGCGCTGCGAGGCTGTATCTGAGCCAGTCTGGGTATCACATCACGCATCAGTAGATACGAATGCGTCCGTACTCGTCGCAAAGCCTGACCGCAACTTTCCCATGTATACACATTGGCCGAGCTCTTTTGCTTTTCCAGAAGGGTAGCACCCACGATGCGGCGCACCTTGACCCCGCGATATGACGTCGGCAGCAAGCATGTACGCTTCGTCGCGCGACACAAGTAGCAAGATCCCGTGGGTCCGGCATAGAAGCGCACCCCCCCTCCCTCCTCAAATAGACGGTTAAAATACATTGTACATGGGAGGTGCCCAACCGTCAATACGCTTGCGGCATAAACAGCCGAGTTCCCACATCGGTGAGGAGACTTGTTCGTCCCAGGCCACAACGTGGGGGGGGGGAGGGAGAGAGACGCCGACTCTGCGAAACCTTGAAAGGTACGCTCATGGCGAGGCGGGTGGCAAATGTGAATTCCATCCAGAGCCAAGATGTCCATTTCGAGCCTGTCCGCACGCGCGGTTCGCAAGAGACGGCATGACCAAGAAAAGGTCGGGCAGAAATTCGGGTTGCACCGCACACATACGAATCTGCCTGCTTCTCAACCACTGCATCTTTGCAGTCCTTCTTTTTTTTTTCTTGTCTTTCTTCTTCTTTTAATTGTGAGTCCGTAGTAGCCAAGCTAGGTTGCCAAGTGGTCTTCGGCAGATCAATCTTATCTGCAGAGCCTAGTTGCGTTCTGCACAACTTTCTTGACAAGACATTTTTTTTTTTTTTTTGTCGGACAGAGCTGCAAGGGCAGAGCCGCAGAGAAGACTTTCCTCTGCTCACTTCTTCTTCTTCTTCTTTTTCCACGACGGGGACCGATGCAGATGTGACGGGCTTGCTGCTGCACGGCCCCATTCATAGCTTGATGAACGTGACACGTCTGTTGATGACCGGGCAAAAGAAATAAGAATAAAAATAGAAATAAAAAATAAAAACCGCAAGTCGACCTGCTGCTGTACAAGGTGAAAAGAGGCGCCAAGCAAGTGCGTGCAAGTGCTGGCCAGAGTGTTCTGGTCCCATGACGATGTAAACGAACGCTGTGAACAAGAGAAGAGGAAAAGGATCTATTGGTCGGAAAGAGCCATGGATTTTGCGCCAGCCAATGGATAATTACAGAATGCGCGGCGGAAGCGGATCTTGCTCCGCGGATGCATCTTCAGGTCTAGGCGGATAAACGCCTCCATGTCGCAATGTCAATTGTGATATATACCCTTGTCGCAAGTCGATACCCCTTGTCACAGGAGACAACGTGCCGCCTTTACTCCGGTGCACTGCAACAGCATCGTACTTTGCAACGGCGAATGCCGGAGATGCATGTACGTGATATTCTGCAACATCGCCGTGCCCTGCTGCGCGCGTGGGGGACTGGGAAAGGGGATAGATAGATGCATCGCCAGGATGCCTGTGTCGATCCGCGAATGTACTTGTAGGGCTCTGGCTCTATTTGTTCTCCCATGTCAATAGACTTGCTCTCCCATGTCAATAGCAGATAATTTAGGATGGGCTTGCTGGATGGATAGTATATGGGACAAGCTGCATTAAAAAATAAATGTCTATATTGTGTGACTGCTTCGCCTGGCATTCTTTTGCTTCACCACCATCCGGAATCGGGAGGGAGCCTTTCATCCCGCGAATTAGGAAGAGAGGTACAGTAACTACCACTACACCTGCCTTGCTGTCTTGCTTACCGCGGAGGGGAATACAGAGTGACGGAAATCGACCCGGGTCCATACCATCGACTTGGAGCCTGATCCGAGACCAGCGACGCGCCGTTGACCACTGTTGCTGGAAACTACCCGTGGCGATAATGACCGCAAGACATTCCACGCGAGACAGCCACAAGCCTTGCATAGAGAAGCGATGACAATTTCAACGACGCGCAAAATGTCGGCAGTTTGGCCGTGGCCAAAGACCGGCCCAAAGAACGCACTTCCCACTTCCTGACCTCTATCGCGTAACGCTCCCGGTCCGATGACTTGCGTGGTGGTTATTCTCGGCCCGATGACTCGTGGTGTCGCGCCCGGACCGATGCAAGTGCGCAGCCGGAAACCCGCGGGCCGGTCGCCGGGGCTGCAGGTCGTCGTTGCCCATGACAAGGGCGCCCACTCTACATCGACAGCGCGGACCAGGATCTTATCCGTCGCCAATTGCGCGCTCCGCGATTGGTTCCCGGTGAGAATATTTCCCGTGTCGGCTGATGCTGGCCTGGACTTGCCCTTGGTGCGGACGAGGGACCTGCGGAACAAGTGGCCCGCCCTTTGAACCTTGACGGGTCACTAGCTACAGGCGAGAGCATACAGACGTGATGCGAGCTTGCCAGGCAGATGGGAGCGACATGAACGAGGGAATGCTATTTCAGGAGTCGTGGCGTGAGAAACTCGACTGGACGGGCCGACGGAGGTCCAGACCACGTCTATTTTCTGTTGCTGCATCCCCGGCTGATGAAACAAATAGGCTGACGAATGGCACACAATGATTCATTTTTTGGGTCATGTCGCAAGCGCAGCTTTACTACGCCGCGTTATTGGCTCCATTGACCATTGCGACGGTTTAGATTGGTCCGGCGCCGGCCCAAGGATATCCACGCCCTACGGCGCACACGCCGCGACTCCAGTTCCCCACCGACCTCGACAACCTGCTCAGACGAAAGGGCGTGGAGAGAGAGGGAGGGCCGTAGAAAAGCTTGAGCCTGAGAAAATCATCTCCGTCCGTTCCACGCCCATCTTCTCTCCATCACACACGGCCCATCATGTACTTGCGCTCCGATCACGCCGACGCCGACGTCGCCACGCTGCGCAGGCTCATCCGGGAGAACCCTCTGGGCATCCTCACCACGGCGCTGCCCTCGGACAGCTTCCCACTGCTGCAGAGCTCGCACATTCCGTTCCTGCTCGACGTCGAGGACGAGTCGGGCGAGACGGAGCAGGGCGTGCTGCGCGGCCACATGGCGCGGGCCAACCCGCACAGCAAGGCGCTGGTGGAAGCGGCGACCGCCGCCGGGGCATCGTCGGACGGGTCTCTGCCGCACGAGGTGCTGGTGCTGTTCAACAGCCCCGTGCAGCACTACGTGACGCCCAAGTTCTACACCGAGACCAAGCCCGCCACGGGCAAGGTGGTGCCGACGTGGAACTACGCGGCGGCGCAGGTCTACGGGCGCATCACTGTCCACCACGACACCGCGTCGTCGGCCGCCGCCGCGCGCTTCCTCAGCAAGCAGCTCGCGGACCTGAGCGACATGAGCGAGCGTGCCATCATGGGCTACACGGGCGAGGGCGCGGCGCCGACCGCGTGGAAGGTGGCGGACGCGCCGGACCGGTACACGGCGCTGCTGAGCAAGGCCATCATCGGCATCGAGATCACCATCGACCGCCTGCAGGGCAAGTTCAAGATGAGCCAGGAGATGGGCGACGGCGACCGCGCCGGCGTCGTCGCCGGCTTCAGGGGCCTGGGCACGGAGCTGGGGGACCGCATGGCGGCCACAGTCGAGGAGCGCGCGGAGCTGAAGAAGGCGAGGAAAGCGGCGACGCAGGAGGCTCATTGAGTCACGGCGGGCGTGGCAAATTTGTGTACAATCTCTGCCCCTTGTTTAGAATAGAGTAAACTCTTGATCGACTGGCAGTTATGTATGTTGGTCTCTGCCTCGTTATAGCGGCGCGCTATTATTCATTCAAATTATCAAGTCACGTATATCCCCTGGAAAATATGTGTCAAAGCCGAGAAACTTGATTACCGTCATGAGATATCTCTGGTCCTGCACTTCCATCGGTTGGAGGCATTGACTTCTTGGCGATGGCAATCGTTAACACATCATCCATGCGCCTGTGATGTGTGTCCCAGTAAGCCGCACGACAAGAGGAAGGACGGATGAAATGCAATGCCAAAAACAAGTCGACGTATAGTCGGCAGCATGTCAGTCGAACGGCAAAGCTCCAACTGCGCCGATGCGTAGCCCTCGGCCAACTAGCAAGTAATACGGTACTACCCTGACAGCGATAAGCAACCACATTTGCGGTCAGCAGTGTGCTGGCAGTGGATCACCAGGTCTCGGCGCGCTCGGTATCCTCTGGAGGGGGGCGTGAGATGATCGGTCAACTAGACCAACTGGAGTCTGGCGGTGATGGATGCGGAAACAACGAGCGAGATGCGGAGCATTCGGCCAAGATTTTGCACGAGTACGGATACAGGGCCTGCCAACAGGACCCCCACGCGGCTGGGTATAACTTATAAGCGGGCAACGGACCCGAGATGCATGTTGACTTGGGCCGGCGTCGGGTGACTGGCCAAGGGAGCACACTGTGTCATGTGTGTACAAAGTACAGTGTACTCAGCATGTTCTCTCGCAGCGTCTCTGCCTGCCACACATGAACAAGGAAACACGGATGTGTGCATGGCCGGACACGGCTGCCCTGTACGATGCGTGCGTGCCAACAAGAACCCATTGCGCGACCTGCTTGAAGGCGGGTGGGACGACACAAGGTTTGTGCTGCGCCAATCTCTCTTGGCACCACATTATTGTATTTACTAGTCTCATCGATGTACGGTGGAGGATACTTGGCTGGCATCTCCACGAGCGGGCGGCCGGGCCCGTGGGGGCGTAAACAAGCCCTGATTGTACATAGTAGTGAATCTGGGGGCAACGATTTAGTTAGACTATGCAAAGAAGCTTATTATTGCGTACTTGGCGGGAAAGCAGCCGCCCGCAGGATAGTAAAAGGGGAAATAATTAAACAGCAAAAAAAACGTGTTGTAAACATCCACTGTACCAAGCCCTCCCCGCCCCAGAGGCGGCCTTGGCGTGAGGGGGGGAAGCCAATGAGTATATGAGAAAAGAGGAATTGACGGACCGCTTGAAAAAGGCCAAGCCATTGACTGGACTTGTACACTGAAAAATTGGAAAAAACAGGTGAGAGTGCCAAGAGGAAAAGGGGTTGCGTGGCCTGCACCCATATCAGCCTGGGGCAAACCCGCAAAAACAGGTGCCTCCCCAACCCTGGATTCTCAAGCAAACAACGTCTGCTGTTCCTCTCATCATCACCACCTTTTCTGTTTCATCGGATCACGGCAAACCACATCATCACGCTCCGCACTCCCCTTCGCCCGATGCGGCGTCTACCTACGATACTGCATCTGTCAGCGTCTCCGCCTCTGCCTCGGCCGCGCAAGCTCGCACAATGGAGGTCTTTGGGTTGAAGAGCCAGTCGCTGCGGTACAGAATGGACGGCCTCGGCAGCGTGCAGCTCTATCTCACGCCGCCCGACTACTTTGACCTGTCACCTTCTCCGGCACCACACCGCCATCTACACGCTGCCGCTGCCATGTTTACGCCCGTCCGGCAAAAGACGACGCTCGTAGTTGGCGCCTCGCGCGGCATCGGCCAGGAACTGGTGCAGCAGCTCGCGCAGCAGCAGCCCGACGGGCACGTCATCGCCTCTGTGCGCAGCGGCGCCGTTTCTGATGGCGGGCGGCCGCTGCCCAGCAACGTGCGGTCCCTCACGCTGGACCCGTCGTCGGGCAAGTCGGTGCGCGAGGCGGCGGGCAGCGTCGGCGCGCTCGACACGCTCATTGTGCACGCGGCCGTCGAGGGGCCCGACGAGGCGCGGCTGCTGGGCACGTCGGACGAGCGCATGGCCGAGTACATGGACGTGGGCGTGACGGGCGTGCTGCGCGTCGTCAAGGCCTTCCTGCCCGCGCTCAGGGCCCGCCCGACGCGCCAGATTGTGCTCGTGTCGTCGACGTCGGGCCCGCCCGCGCGGCAGGGCGACGATACCAGGCCGGCGGCGGCGGCGGCTTCTCGCGGCGGGCCGTACGCCGTGTCCAGGGCCGCGCTCAACATGGTTGCCGTGCAGCTGCACAATGAGCTGCACGGGTCCGACGGCTTCACCGTCGTGCCCATCCACCCGGGCGGCGGCGCGACGGACACGGGCCGGATAGCGGGTGAGGGGGGCTTGTCCGTCGCCAAGAGCGCGGCGGGCATCCTCAAAGTGGTTGGCAAGCTGACGCCGCAAAATTCGGCGACCTTTTACAATTATGACGGAACGACGCTGCCAGGGTAGATGGCGGCCTTTTGTGTCGAGGGGGCGAGGCACATCTTGTACATGTATTCAGGACTGCATTTGTGGGTAACGGAGAATACACGGCCTTCTTTTCTTTGAGCAATGTCGAGTCAGCATTGTTCGCTAGTGCCTCGTCGTCTGGGAGTCCATGGTAAAGACGTACGGCCGCGTTCGCGGACACCATCGGATGAACTTGGCCGCCAGGGATGAGCTAGCGACCGAAAGCAGCTTCAGCCGCTCGAGCACCAAGACAATGCATGCACCAGCGGTCCCGGTAGCTAGGTATCACCTACGAAAGTACGGATACCAGTAAGATGGATATGCGTGGACTTGTACCAGTAGGTAGTGCAGATGCGCAGCAGTAAAAGAAGCCCCTGCCTGACCTGCTGCACCATCCCCATCCGCTGCAACCCTCTCCCCAGGTATTTGGGGACACCGTGACACCCGCCACCTGCACCAATATGCCCAATTCGCGACGATGCGCCATTTTCAACGCACAGCTTCTTTGCATCGTCAAGAGCAGCAAACAACGAAACCAAGGCCATTTTCGCGCCCCCCCATGTGACGTAGGATAACGGATTTTAAAGTGCCACTAACTCTCATGGCCCTGGGCGCTTCCTATCACCGTCCAGCGCCCGTCGCACTAAATCCGTACAGCGCACTAACCAAAGCCACAAGCGTGCAGGCGTGGCCCATCGCACCTGGATCGGGCCAACAGGAGGACGAGGTCGCCATGCACACGATCCCCGTTCAAGACGCAGGTGTCGCCGGCAGAAAGATGACTGCGAGAAAGAACTTTCCCGCATCGGCCCGCCGTTTTTGGCCCGCCTTGATCCCCATCTCTTGCATCAACACCATCAACGGCCTGCCTCCCCCTTCGTCCGGTCGCCCCCAGCCAGCTCTTTTGCCGCCTGGGATGACAAACGCGACTCGCCCGCGACCCATTGCATCCCGCCATGGATCCCTTCCGACACTCTGAGGAGGAGGAAAAGGCGGCCATCAACGACGAGAGCCGCCAAGTGCAGCACGTGGCCTCGCCCTCGTCCGCGTCCGCTCGCGAGCACCCGCCGCTCGCTGCCAAGGCCTCGGACGATGAGCTCCCCGGCACCCAGCGGCGCGGCCTGGTGATGCCCGCGCTGACCGACACCGACGTTGCGACCACGACAAAGTCTGAAATCTGGGCCTGGTACACGTACTATATTGGCGCCAACGGGCTCGCCCTCTTCAACTTTGGCCCGACGGCCTTTCAGAACCTGCTGAGCCAGGCCGCCGGCGGCGACACGGGCCTGCTGCGCTTCGCCGGTGCCGACCGCGACGTCAACAGCATCGTCCTCCTCGCCAACGGCATCTCCTTTGCCCTGCAGGCTGTCCTCTTCCTCGTCATTGGCGCCTGGGCCGACTTTGGCACCGGCCGCCGCTGGGTCCTCGTTGTCTGGTCGCTCGTCGCCTACGCCATTGGCTTCGCCTGGCTCGCCGTCCACGACCCGGCCAAGTGGCAGATTGCGGCCGGCCTGTACATTGTCGGCCTGATTGCGTACCAGCTCACGCTAACGTACTGGACCGCCGCGTTTCCGTCGCTGGCCCGCAACACGCCGTGGATCAAGGACTCGCGCACCGCCTACGAGAATGACGAGATTACCCTCAAGGAAATGGACCGGCGCGACGAGCTGGAGCGCAGTCGACTGAGCAACGTCGGCTTCTATGTCCAGTCGGTGGGCGAAATCTTCATCCTTGCCGTCATTGTCGGCATCATGTATGCTGTGCATGTGCGCCGGAGCACTGAGGACAACAATTGGGGCCTCTCGGTGCTCATTGCCTTTGCCACTGGTGTCTGGTTGCTGCTCTCACTGCCCTGGTTCCTCATGGAAAAGACGCGTCCGGGCATGAAGATTCCACCCGGACTCAACATTGTCACCGTCGGCTTCTGGCAGCTGTACGAAGCGGCCAGTCAGATGTGGCAGCTGAAGCAGAGTCTCATCTTCCTCGCGGGCTATTTTCTGCTCGGTGATTCTCTCAACACCACCGTCACGGTCATCTCCACGCTGCAAAACCAAGTCATTGCGTACGATACCCTGAAGCTCACCTATCTACTCATCGTCGGCATTGCTGCGCAAGCTGTCGGCATTGGTATGTTCTGGCTGATTCAAAAGCGCATGAACCTCAGCGCCAAGACCATGTTCAACGGCGTCATGGTGTCCATCTTGCTGCTCGATGGCTGGGGCATGATTGGCAACTGGACCGGCAGATTCGGCTTCAAAAACGAGTGGGAAATCTGGCTCTACCAGGCCTTTTACGGCCTGGTCGTCTGCCCCTGGTACAGCTACTCGCAGATTATGATTTCGTCCGTCACGCCGCGCGGCCACGAGTTTCTCTTCTTCTCCATCTTCAACATTATTGGCAAGGCCTCGAGCTTCATCGGACCGCTGATCAGCAGCCGCATCATTGACGCCTCGCCGGGCGGCACGAACAATAGCGCGCCGTTTTACTTCTTGTTCGCCCTGAGTCTGCTCAGCGCCGTTGGGCTGTGGGTGTTTCTCGATCTCGAAAAGAGCGCGCGCGAGCAGGAAGTGTTTTTAGCCCAGGAAAAGGCCAGGATGGTTGACGATGGTAGCGATGTTGCGGCGGCGTGAGTCGCACAGGGGCGTGGAAATACGACTAGAGTGTATAACACTGCACCATCCCGAAACAGGCACAGGCTCGAGGCCAAACTGCCGATTATATCAGGTTCCCGGCACCGGAATCAAGCGCCACTTTTTCTGTTTGCTATTTGCTGTTTGTTTGCTATGCGTGGAGACGCCAGCCCACTGGCGGAGATGGTGGTGCGAAATCACGGCCATGGTGCAAATATTCCAGCGAGCAGTAACTAGAGAAGCCTTACTATACCTGCTTAGAGGTATACTATAAGAGTATGAATAAAAAGGAATAATAAATCAATTTATTAACCATCGAACTAGAAGCATATACCTTTCATATCAGTTTTTTTGTATTCCAGTGCTTGTCGGTCGGTTCATGATGTACCTAGTGTTGAAGAGCGCTAGTTACATTCCAGCCTTAGAATCGCATGAACATATTGCCTCGACTGGGTAAGTCCTTTGAAAGGCTAAGTTTGTGCCGGACTGGAGGACGATCAGTATGTACGTACCACTTTGACAATGCCATGTCCAACAAAGACAAGGAATCTGCGAGGGGGGCGCAGTCAACATACCTGATTCTAGCCGTGTTTGAACTCGAGGCTGGCCTTCAGCAGACTGCTGCCAAACATGGCAGCACCACAAGGCGACCAGCATCTCAAAAGAATCCCGTTCCAGACTTGACTTGACTTGTAGTTTCGACGCAGATCCGTCCTCTTGCGGGATTTCTTCCGCTACCACATTTCCTTGGGCATCGGCCCATATGAACTGATCGCCCTGAAGGCTCAACGTAAACACCGCGTCTGCATCCTTGACAAATTGCGGGAGCTTATAGCTGCTCGTTTTCCCCGACAGGTCGAGTGGAAGCGTTTTCCAATGCTTTCGCAGAGTAGACTTTTTCATCCCCAGGCTACCAAGCCCCGTCTTGGACGAGACGCGTTCGACGTAGTAGTGCGGCGAGTCCGACGGCACGCCTTCCAGTCCGCCCGGAGCCTTGTGAATATACCGGAGGTTGTAAATGTGTCGAGTGCGATCGGGGGCCTTTTCTGTCGCTTGGCCATGTGCTTTCACTACCCGCTCAAAAGTGACCTCGGAAGTGGCATGAGACAGAGTGGCGATGCCGCGATTCAGCCGATAAGCTGCGGTTGGAGAGACACCTTCATGGTGTTGCGTGGTGATGGTTTGACCATCTACCGAGAGGAGAGATGGAGGTATGCGGTCGCTTGCTTTCCCATCCACAACGTCCTGGTAGGATGGCGGTGGCGAGCCGTTTATCTCATCAGCGGACATGATCCAGCGGGTCGTACTAAATATTGAACGCTTGGAGCATATGCTGCAATTTCAGGCACCGGAGGGACTCGTGTTATATGGTAACGAAGGATGATAATAAGCAGGATGGGAACGAAAGAAAGAGAGTTGCGGGTGAGGATAAATGAGATCTTTTCTTTGTCCTTGCTTAGGTAATGACTAGATGTCGTCCCCGTTCGTTACAGACTGATAAATGGTCGGATATTGCCATCCCGGGACAGTAGACATAAAGAAGAGCCACACCCATAAAAAGCCCACGGCACGCCTCCACCAGCGTAGACATGGCGATGCCGCTATATCCGTGTGATAACCTCCCGCCACTGGCCCCGTGAGAGCCTTGACGAAGTGGAGACGAGAAAGAATCACCTCCATCGTACAAACAAGCCAATTACAAAGAAAAAATATACACTCTTGTTTGAGTGAAGTACGGCGAGTCTGTGACCAGTTGGCCACGGCGTGGCAGAGGGCAGAGAGGGCGAATATCCAGAGCGGCTTGAGCATCTTGCCGAATGTCTGGTACCTTGAAGGCATCGACGGCATGAAAGACAAAAATGGAACAACATGTAAGCGATGCCAGAAAACACCCCAAAATCGGCGCAACGAATATGCTTCAGACAACTTGCCGAAGAGACCAGGCCATTCATCCGGCTGGCTCAGCTGGAAAACATGAATGAACATGGCCGCCACCATGTCATGGCCCACCTGCAAGCTGAAATAGGTGTTCCATACCCAATAAACGGAAAACAAGGCCCGAAGTGATATGCTCTTGACCGTCATGGTCCTAAACGACGGTATCAGGCTCTGCATCTCCGGTCGAAAGTCGAACATGGTAACACCAAGCGACATGACCACGCGGTCAGCCAGCGTGGCAATGACCAAGTTGCCCAGGCACAACCGAAAGCATCGACCAACTCGTTGAGCGGCATCTCTGGTTCGCCAAGGATTGTGCCGTCGGCCGCTTCCCTTTTCCCTGTCCACGTTCGGGGTCGCCGGCGGCGGCTGCCGGGTAATATTGATCCATGCCACCACGGCGAGTCGCAGCCGATGGGGAAGGGCCCCGGCGCGCCGGTCGATTGATTGCCGGTGCACGAGCAAGGTGGAAGTGGTGTGGAACGCGAGGCCTATCGTGAATGGCACGAGCAGCGCCGGCCAGGACTGCAGCGCGGCTGGATGGGCCGTCAGAATGCAAAGGTACGCAACAAGGTGTAGAGCCGTGAACACTGAGCGGCGGTGGTTAAAGGGCTCCAGCACTGCCAGGATGAAAAAGACTCCTGCTGCGGCAAAGAAAGCTATTGGGTGCAGCTCGAGTCGAAACGGAAACAAAAGCTTTGACAAGTCCATGGTTGTTGAGCTGGCTTCGTCTGGCTGGCGATGCAGGAGAGAAATCTTGATCAACCAATCTACCGCCTTTCACTGGATTAAATACTTCACGTCAACTAAGAAAAGGAAAAGGCTGGCTAGTTTCCATTCTACTCTCAAACTGTCCGAAAATCTCTGACAAGTAACAGGGTTCTCATGTTCTCGGTCCCTGTCAACAGCCTTACTCGCCTCGTCATGATGGATATGACTACATTGAGAAATTTCAGCACCGGCTCCTTGCGTTCAATATGTCGTATGACTCGGGAGATTCTCTCTCACCAGGCTTGTCATTTTCTACCTTCGGGTACCAACGCTTGCCGTCTTGACCGGCCTCAATTTGACGGCCTCGCTCGTTTCGTTCAAGGGCATGATGAGGACGGAGCGGGAGCACTGTATCATCGATGCTTTCCACAGCCTTCCACAGTAAATATGCCACCCAATCTGGTTCTGTAGCCGTCTCTATGAATTTTGCAAGCCGTAGACAACTATATAACCTTGGGGGTTTCCCTTCTCTAGACGTCAACCCACAGTCCTCAGTCCTCAGCTACAAGCCAACCACTAAATTACATCCCTCAATTACATTGTCTTTAGAAAACTCTCGAGATGCCTCTTGCCGCCCTCATTCCCGTCCTTGGCATGGTTGTCGGCGACGCCCTGAGCGCCACTGGCGCCGTCGTGAACTGCTACGCTCTTCACCACTGTGAGAAGCGCAGTGTTCCTCCCGAGCAGCCTTTCGCCACCGTCATCGAACATGTCAAGCATGACGCTGTTGGTCCTTGCAACGTTCCCCAGTACAACTTTGATCAGTGCCAGGACCAGCTCCGTGGCGTCACCGTCACCACCTCCATTCCCGCTGAAGGACGTAAGTGACCCTATCTAAATCAGATCGGACTGGTTCTAACTCATCTACTCGCCCAATTCAGAGGCTCAGTTTGACAATATCCCTCCTGCTTGCATGAATCTTGCTGGTGTTCTCACCGGTGGCTGTGGCGTCTCCGGCCCTCGTCCCCAGCCTTGCGGCTCTGCTTGCCTGCTGTACACCGGTCTCTCGGGCGACGATCTCAGCAAGCTTTCCCAGGTCCTTGCTCCCTACGCTCACTAGATTGTGTCAAGCTCCGACTCGCTGTATATCATGGCTAGGTAGTTAGCTATCTATGTCTCTTCCCTTGGTTGGTGGTCATGATGAGAATACGACCTTCCGGGGATGAGACATCGAGTTCGTTAAGAGCCCGGGCTGGGCAGTCATCTAGCACTTGCTGCTTTGGTCATATGGCTCCTCTAGTTAGAGCTTGTACTGCCTCAATGAATGTTGTACACGAAGATGCGGTGACACTGGGAGAAATACTACGGGGCAAGACGTCACAAGTGCGAGTGAGCTTGAAGTGATAGACGTGGTTCGATAAATAAGCTTGGCTGGTCCAGCATGTAGGGTATGTAGCCGAATTGGATGAAAGAAAATACGCCCGGCTCCGAGATGGGCCGAGCGACAATGGCAGGAATCTTAACAAAACAATGTGTTATTTGAGAGTAAAAGGTCACGAGGGCACTCGAAAGTCAAGACGCCGAATAAATGCTTGATTCACAAGTGATTGTGATGTGTCTAGGCAGAAGGCGCCCCACCAATGAGCCATGGTCGCTGTTGACTCACACCGTTGCTCAAGTTATAAACCAGATGCTGCGTGACTTGAAACTTGCCATATTCAACAGCAGAAACATGTGAATTGACTCCAAATGATGGTCAAACCTATCGAACTTGACGGCCGAACTGGTGAAGGTGGCGGCCAACTAGTACGTGTTGCAGTCGGCTTAGCAGCTCTCACTTCACAACCTGTCAGGATTGCCCATGTTCGAGGCAACAGAGGGGGTCCTCGCGGTGGTGGTGAGTTTTTGTGCGCCATGTAGATTCTTCATCGGGTCTAATTGCGCTCATAGGCCTCAAGGTCCAGCACGTCACCTCCATTCGGTGGCTGGCAGACGTCACCGGGGCAGATGTAGAAGGTCTAAGTGTTGGGTCCGGGACGCTGACTTTCATCCCCAAGAAGGGCCCAGCAGACCTTGCCGGTCGCTCATTCGAGATCAAGACAGACACGGAAGCGGCCAGTGCACTGCTCATTCTGCAGGCGATATTTCCCTTTGTGCTGTTTGCCGGTCATGACAACGCAGAGCCGCTCACCATTACCATTCACGGTGGCACAAATGTGACGTGGTCTTTGAGCTACGAATACTTTGACCAGGTCCTGATGCCAGCACTCGAGGAGCGCTTTGCCATTCGAATCGACAGGAAACTCAATGGTCGCAGCTGGAGCAACGGCAAAACAGCCCGCGGATCGATAACGCTCACGGTATACCCCGTACCAAAAGGCAAGAAGCTGCACTACTCTCTACCCAAACGATACACATACCCTGCTTCTTACGAGGTCAAGATGGTCAATATCAGCATCCTTGCACCCGCTCACGCTCACGAGCACCTCCAGAATCAGCTCTTCCAAAAATTGGGCGAGCTGTATCCTGATGCAGACCTACGGGTGAAGCTGGTTGAAGATTCCGGCTCCAATCAAAAGTGGAACGTGCTCCTCGTCGCGGAATCGCGAGACGGCATCCGCTGGGCAAGGGACATCTTGCGAGGCATGCCAAAGAAGATGCGCTCGTCGGATAGCTTTGTGAAGCAGGTGGCAAATTCGGTGTGTCGCGATTTGCACAAGGAAACATCGCTCGGAGGGCAGGTTGATGAGCATCTGCAAGATCAGCTCGTGGTTGTGCAGGCGCTTTGTGACGGGTACTCGTCTTTTCCTCGGGGTGATGGTGCGGGAGATTCGGGGCCAGAGGCAAGGCTGGCCGGCACCATGGGCAATCTGTCGCTGTCTGGGGATCGAGTGCGGAAAGACAAGACGTATGATCCGTTTGGCCATGGGTCGATGCATACACAGACGGCGCGCTGGGTGGCGAGTCGGTTACTGCCAGCAGCCGAATTCTACAATAAGGGAGACTTTGTCAAGGGGGTCGGATTCTCAGTGTAGAAAGGGATGGACGGGATGGACGGGATGGTGGCGGAGATGTATCATGGAGATTGTGTTGAGATGAAATTCTTTTAACATACAACGCCCCAACTGGTATGTGCTAGATACCTAGGCTGCCGTGGTTAGATAAATACCAAGTGGACGCTAAAGTAGTTTTTAGTATTGAAAAAAAAATTCATAATACAACTATATTTTATAAGGTTCTTTTTTATCTCTTTCTTTTGCCTGGGAACCTGCCTATCGAGAACACACTGGACTATTGAACCCTATCAGGAATCGTTTCACCCAGGCATAGGGCCGGGGCTGGGCATGGTCCGGTCCTATGCTACGGTTTTCCCACCCCTCACAAGTTTATCGAGGTACTAGTGTAATTCAATAAATATCTCTTTCTTTTTATATTAACTTAGTATATTTTAGATTTTTACTAGTTTTCTAATAACTATTAAATTATTTGTCTGGAATCACGTGGACAGTCCGTACAGCACTCTAAGTCGGTCCGGCTAGCAGCTCTCAAAAGAAATCTCTCATGACGCCGAAGCTCGACCAAAAATGAAAATTGTTGAATTAACAATCAACAACTAACATTCGCACAATAAAGCGCCTGCACGACTTCAGAATGGTTACGAACCAAGAACTAAACAACCGCCGAGAACCTGGCTGCGAGGTTGTCCTTGCTGACAAAAAATACTTCCACGTGGGTCATTGATTTATGAAACGGACGCTCAGAAGGCATGAATGGCAATCCGTTTCCGAAGGCACTATCATAATTCCCGCGACAACCTATCCCCAGCGATGGAAGAATGATGCTGCTATTCTACGGTTTCTTCGCAACAAGACTAATATTCCGCTTCCACCTGCAGAATGCACGTTCGAAGATGACGGAGCCTTTTATCTCCAAACGCAACATGTGCAGGGAGTCAACATGAATGAGTTGACACAAGAGGAAAAGGAGATAGTGATGCAGGAGCTAGGTCAACATATAGCGACCTTGAAGTCTCTACGATCGGACACACCTGGCGTGCCTGGCGAATCCCTCCTATGTCCTCCTCAACGGGTCACCGGCGGGCGGTGGAAGTGTAACAGCTGCTGGAAACCAAGGGACGCCAAGGGAGATTACATTTTTTGCCATAACGATCTCGGCCAGCATAACGTGATAGTCGGCCCCGATACCCTTGCGATAAAAGCTATTATTGACTGGGAGTTTGGTGGATTCTGGCCTGCATGGTTCGAGAGACCTTTTTGGAAGCGGCCCGGACCCAGTGTGATTCTTGAAGGGGAGGACGATGATGTTCAAACGATGCCGTGACTGGTTGATGGACTACTGTGACGAAATAGTGATACCTCAATTCGGCGGCGATACTGGAAAACCATAGCAACCATCGGCACTGCCCTCGTCCCCATCGGTCTGCTCTGGTGGGGATGGACCGGCGAAGCCAGGCTGCACTGGATCCTTCCCAATATCGGCTGCCTGTTATTCGCCATGGGCGTGTACATATGCTCCAGCTGCGTATCCGTGTACACTATTGATACGTACGGCCGATACGCGGCGTCCGCCATCTCGACAAACCTGATGGCACGGAGCATTACGGCTGCCTTCTTTCCGCTTTTCGCGCCCTACCTGTTTGACGCCCTGCACTTTGGCCTCGGCGCCACGGTTTTAGCGGGTGCTTTTGCCATGTTCGGCACAATGGCCGTGACGATATTGTGGTTCTATGGGAAAACCTTGAGGGCGAGGAATCTCTACTCCACAGAGCCTCTGTGAAGCTAAACTTGGGGATCCGATAAGAGCGGCGGATGCGGTTTGTTACATCCCTGCCCGCCAATCTTGGCGGCCAGGCTGTAAGAGCAACCCTGTAAATAGTTACTTGCTGCTCTACGATTCTAGTTGACATAATCAACAATACGTAGACTTTACAATGCAGCATATAACTGTGTGGTCGGTGTATTTCCATAATCCTATCAATGCGATCGATTCGGAGAACCCAGACCTACTGAAGGCGCAGGGCTCCGACAACGGAAATCCCGGAAGTGTGGTTGTAAGTGGATGGTCGTGGCAGAGCCGTTCGAGGAGGATAAGTGGCTTTTACGACAGCACTCAAACCCCGAACACAGCCAGCATAACCACGGGCGTAACATCGGGCCATCTGCACACCCCTCCCATAGGATCCTCACTACGCCTATTAGGGCTACAATTGAATCAACAAGCCGCAGAGTTGGAATCCGAGCTCGTGCTGGCTATCGTCCAGGAGCAACATCCAGAGTATATATTTACACGAAAGGATATCTACAACGCCAGGTCTCTTATCAACCGCGATAAATTCGGTGGATATACACCTACAGCAACACTCAGCAAGCTCTTCGACGAGAGGGAGATGTCCTATCTCGTCAGGTGGGCGGACGATAACCCGAATCGTCGTTTTGGCCTTGTCTGGACCTTTCCCTACTGTCTTCAGATGTGGAAGCGGTTCCCTGAGGCCATCAGCTTTGATAAAAACGTATAACACCAACCGCTTCAAACTCCCATTATTCCAGGTAACAGGAATACCTGCCTAGGGTCGGTCTTCGACGTCTCTTTCGGTTCAATCCACGATGAGAGACGGGAAGGGGTCCAGTTCCTTTCCGAAAGCATTCAGCAATTAGCAGAACAGCACTCTATCCAACAACCAGACATTATTATCACCGGCTGCGACTGTTCGATGAAACTGCCCAGTTCCCTGGTACAGAAGCAGCGGTTGGTACCTACATACCTACCTATGTAGGTAAGTACCTGATAGGTAGAGGTTAGTAGTTCCTGTGTTGAGGTTACTCGTGTCACACCCCCACTGTTCGCACAGTAGGGTGTTGTATAGTCACGCGGCCACCATAGCCACACAGCCACCATATTAATACTAATAAACTTCTTTTATATAGTTAATTAAGAGAAAATAAGAAAAATATATATAAACTAGATTTAGATTAGTTTAGTTTTAAGGTATCTAATAGACTAATTTTTAACTTTTTAGCTATTATCTAAATATTATAAATTAAAGAAATATAGATTTAAAAGTAAAAAAAATAGAATAATTTAATTCTATTTAATCTAATACGTCTTACAGGGCCGGACACGGCTCCCCTCGACGTGGATAAAAATAGAGGGAAGGGGGAGGAACCGAGAGGTTGAGAGGATAATAGGCTCGACCAGTCCGGAGACGTGCAGGATTGGACACGGCCCATAAAAACCCGGGGGGAGGGGAGGTGGCTAACAGGCTCGGCTGGCCAGAGTGGCACAGGCCAGACATAGGCCGGGACGTGGATAAAAACCCGGCACATGGCATCAAGAGGGGTCTCACCGGACCCCCGTATACTCCGGAACAAGACCACAACGAATCCCACAAAACGTAGATAGGGTTTTCCCCTAGGTACTCTAGTTTTTCCTTATCCTATAATTAGTAAAGGTACTAGATAGGTTATATAGCCTAATTAATAAATTATTATTATTATTTAATCTAATAAAAATATATATATTTCTATAGATTTATATATAACCCCTTTAATATAAAGTATAATATATAGAATTACTATATATTTATAATATTATTTTTAATATTATTAGTATTATTTATATTTAAATTTATACTATTATTTTAATATTTTATATTATATTAATTAAAAAAGGTATATATTAAAGGGGTTATAATTTAGATAAATAAAAAGTAAACCTATTCTTAAGTATTTTATATTAAGTTTTATATATTATCTATCTTTAGTTATCTTTATTATAATATTTTACTTCTTAGTGGCTACGTGGTTATGGTGGCCGCGTGACTATACAACACCCTACTGTGCATACAGTGGGGGTGTGACACGAGTACTCCCTGAACAGCGCTGAAAAATGTCCCGCGCCAGAGAAACTCAGGTCCATACAACAGATAGATGGCCACACAGATACACTCCAGGAACCGTGTTAAAAAGAACTAAAACGTAGAGAGGAAAGAAATAGAAAGTAGGAAGGATAATGAGGATAAATAGAGTTCTAAAGATAAAAAAAGACAATAAGATTCCGGGAGATAATAATCAACTACCTACCAGTGCACTAGCTGGACGTTTTATTTTGTACCTCGAGTCCCCACCTTCGAAGCTACCGGTACCTCCAGAGCACCGTCGTTGCTGTGCCAGAAAGACTCCAAAGAATTTTAGACGACGCAGTCACCGCCATATCCAGTGAATCCATTGGTTGCCTCTCATTTCTCACACACCGCACGGGAGTCTCGCATCGTAATCGAAGCCGTCACGAAGATGCCCTTGATTCTTCACAATGTTCCCGATGAGGAGCGCTACGTCGGCGACGACGGCCTTACGCGCCCTTATGCCATGATCTTTGGCCAGTATGTGCTTCCCGTCTGCCTCAACGCCGCACCCCCATATCGCTGACACGCACGCGACAGAAACGAAGGCGGCCCCGCGACAGGCACGCGCGCGCGACGAACCGTGGCCGAGACGGGCTCCTTTGGCAAGTCGACGCGGCGCTCGCGGTCTCGCACTGGCACACCCGCCCGCAAGGAGAACCCGACGCTGGCCGCGGCCGACAAGGTCTTTGGCGACTGGCTCTCGAAGCAGAACAACAACAGCGGCAGCGGCAGCAACACGACCAGAAAGCCCGCCGCCGGCGTCAACAGCCAGGAGGATCCGGCGCCGCAGCGCGCGGTCCAGTCGACGCCTGTCGAGCTCACGCTCCGCGGGTACCGCTCCGCGGCGCAGCAGTACGCCGCCATCAGCCACTACGAGGAGCTGGCCGGGTCCGTCCTCGAGGACTACCCGCGCGACCCCCCGACGACGCAGCGGCGCTACAAGTCGGACCTGCGCGACCCGGCGTATACGCGCCGCCGCTGCCTGACACCAGACCAGCGCGCCCTCGTCAACCGCGCCGACGGCGGCGAGCACTGGGTCAAGGTGACGTTTGAGAGCGCCGACGCCGCCAACGCCGCCATCTACGCTAGCCCCCAGCGCATCCTCGGTCACCTCGTCTACGCGGAGCCCTACCGCGGCGTGCCGCTCGCGCGAGACGAGGCCTGCCCTGACACGGGCGACCTCTTCTCTGACATCCTCGCTCCCGGCGGGGGCGGCGGCCTCGCTAGATCCTACAGCGTTCCCGCACACGTCGGCGAGACCGGTTCCCGACGCGCTGCCGGTGGTGGTGGCCTGCCGCAGTCGTTTAGCAGCCGGCTGCTCGACCTCAGCACCGCGCCCGAGTCCCGCCAAACCAGCGACACACTCGACACAGCCACGCTCTCGCCATCCCGGGCCTCGAGCGCCACGGCCATTGACCCGTTCAGCGCGAGTACCGCTGCGCCTGGCGTAACCTCGACCACCACCGCCGCCGAGCCCATCGAGATCCCGCCTGAGGACAGCGTCTTTTGCCGCCGTATACCCACCGCCCGCCGCGCCCGCCTGCTGCCGGCCGAGCAGGCGCTGCTCCCGCAGCAGTCCGTCATGCAGCGCTTTGTCGGCGCCGTGCCGTTTATCAACTGGTTCGGCGGCAGCATGATTGGAAACGAGGTGCCGCGCATGGAGACGGGCGAGTTTGACTGGAACCGGGCGAGTCTCTACTGGAAGTTTATCTGGTGGCTGGACGCGACGTTTGGTCTGTTCCGGGGCGACGTCTACAGCATCGATAAGGACGAGTAAGAGACGACCGCGGACGGTTCATTACCAAACACGAATTCAGCAGCATGCACGTCAGCAAATTGCATTTACCGCGACAAGGCATTATATCTTACTTTATCTGCATGCACACGGTGGATAGGGGTGGTTAATCATGACAATTCGGACTCCATTTGGCGTTACTGTACTCTTTTTTACATATCAGTAGATGGTTGGAGTCTACTTTTGGTGTTGTTTTGGCACACGAGGCAGAATAAGACACTATTTTGCGCATCCATGTGTGGCATCGGTTCAAGCAGCAGTAACATCAATTTTATGGTGTACATGTGGTAGAAACTCTGGAAATAACTATACAAGACGCTAACAAGTGTATGAAGCCTTCAAGGCGCCCGCATGAAAGTACAATGTAATTGATCAGAAACACAAGCCAGCTCGAAAATCAGAAAATGGTAAGAAACGAAAGTTATACACGCAAGATGCCAAGACTCGTCCAACGTGCAACACTTGCTGACGAGTTTAAGCGCTGAAAAATAATGAACAAGACCAGATAAAACAAAAGCCATAGGTCAACCCGAAATATGCAGGTATAGGCTTCCCAGCACAACTAGACGATTGTCACCATATCAAGAAGAGCCCCATCCCCCTCCAGGGGAGCCGTCATACGTTGGTATGTCATCTCTCGGTTCTGGCGTGTGCGATCGCGATCGCCTCCCGCGGTCGTCGCTCTCATGTCCCTCTTCCTCATCCTCCTCTTTAGACGTCCCAGCCGCGTTGCTGTTCTCCTCGGGGCGGTCGTCTTCGCCAGCCTCCTGCTGTTGCATGTAGCCGTTGCCAAACGCGCCGAGCGAGTCTTCCGTAATCTCCATCGGCGTGCGTCGGATGGGCTGCGGCGAAAAGGGCCGCGCATTGCGCGGCTTGTTGAAGTCGGCCGGTGCCGCCACAGCTTCAACGTCGGCGGGCGGGCGGTTGTCCGAGGCCAGCGCCGTCAGGGACTGGTACCGGTCGGGGTCGGTGAGGAGGCTGTCGCTTCTAGCGTGGCCGCCGCGCGACGAGTCCGAGACGGCATCAGGCAGGATGCTCTTGGGGGGTAGGATCGAAAACAGTTTGACGCCGTCGCCGGAGCCGGTGCCTCCGCCGAGGATGCCGCCGCCGTGGTGGCCCGTGTCCGTGTCCGTGGCAAAGAGGTCCTGGCCCTTTTCCAGCAGGTCCTCCAGGCCGCCGCCGGTCCACCCCTTCTTGGCCAGGCTCTCGAAAATGTCCACCTCGGCGCGGACGAGGCTGCAGCTGGCGTCGACGATGCGGGCGCTCGTGTCCTGGCTCTCGCGCAGCATGGTGCGGGCGTGGTCGGCGTGCAGCGTCGACATGCCGTCGAGCTTGCCGGTGAGCTCGACGAGGTGCGCGCGGAAGCGCGCCACGTCGCGGCGCTTCTGGCGGTGCAGCTTGAGCCCGTCCTTTTCCAGGCGGCGGACCTCGCGGGCCTGCGCCGTGATGCGGTGCTGGTAGGTGGCCTCCTCGTCGTCGATGACGGAGCGCCACTTGTCGAGGTCATGCAGCAGCGGCACCTCAAAGGAGCGGTACACCGTCTCGGACAGGATCTGCTGGTGGTTGGCGACGAGGTGGTGCAGGCCCGAGGCGGCCATGAGCGTGTCGGCGGTGCAGGCGACGGCGCGCGCCGCGGTGAGCTGGCCGTCATGCTGGCG